GAGATAATCAATTTTGAAGTTTTACCTGACAGCTAAATCCACTAGCATTATGTGACCCATTTTTCAAGTGGGAGCGTGGCGTAATTGGTAGCGTTCGGGACTGACAGTCACGAGATGGCTGGTTCGAGTCCGTCGCGTGACATTTTTTTTTTTCAAAACGCACCATATAGTTTTTTATTATTTTTTTCATCTCGAAAATTATGAACAAACGAAATATTATAATAAATACTTATGTACCTATATGTAGGAATATTCTTCAAATATTTCATTAAAATGCACAATTGGCTGATAAACAATATTTATTATGAATTAACAATAAAGTTTCTTTAAAAAAAAACAAACGAGGTCAGGTAGGTTTTTATTTTATTTTTAGTATTCAACATTTTACGCAGTGTGGCATAAGCCAGAATGATAGTTATCATAGAAACATGGGAAGCAGAAATTTTTTAAGCATCTAGCATGTCGTGTAAATGTTATGTTTTTACAGGCGCATTTTGTTTTCAAAATATCGACGTCGAAACGTTTTTTTAAACACGGTGGACGATCCACACAACCTAGCTCAAAATGATAATTAAACACTTGAAGAATATTCCTACATACAGTTCTTATAATATTTCGTTTGTTCATAATTATCGAGATAAGAAAAAGAAAGAAAGCTTGACACTTAAAAAATTTCTACTTCCCATTTTTCTATGATAACTACCATACTGGCTCGTGCCACACTGCGTAAAATGTCAAATACTATCATAAATATAAAATAAAAGAACATCCTACCTGACCTCGTTTGTTTTTTTTTTTAATGAAACCTTATTGTTAATAAATAATAATATTGTTTATCAACCAATTGTGCATTTTAATGAAATATTTGAAGAATATTCCTACATATACATAAGTATTTATTATATTTCGTTTGTTCATAATTTTCGAGATGAAAAAAATAATAAAACACCATATGGTGCGTTTTGAAAAAAAAAAGTCACGCGACGGACTCGAACCAGCAATCTCTTGACTGTCAGACCCGAACGCTGCCAACTAGGCCACGCTCCCAGTTGAAGAATGTGTCACATCTACTGGATTTAGCTGACGGGTAAAACTTCAAAATCGATTATTTCGATAATTTATGAACGTTGCGTCGAACTACTTCAGAAAATTCTTATTCAAGGTCCAAACTACGCGTGCCGTAAATATCAAAAATTACAAAAATCCGACTACCTTACCTTCTCCTTGTGAGAAAAATAACCATCAAAGGTCACACTAGTGCGAATTCGCACCATTGTTTTTTTTTTTTTTTGAACAGCTGGTATTTCTCAGGTAGCAGCTGCCCCCCACCACGATAATTCCTTCTATATTCCAAACAGTCGAGCCGTACCACAGCTGAGACTGAAGCTAGAGAGTCTGAATAATCCAATCAGTGCGAATCATACCATGAAATTTTATTAAAATAGATTTTCTCTATCTCTTAAAATAAAAAAATTACACAGCCCTAAACTTTCGGTCCTTTTCCGATTTTTTATGATTTCTCGTAAAGTTGGCCATGGATCTCAAATTTGTTTTTACGAGTATAAAGGCCTCAAAAAATGCAACAAAAAACATAAAGATTCATTCATTCATAGGAGTGGCCCTCTTATAGTAGACAGCGTGTATATACAGGGTGGCCCAATAGTGCGTCAAAATTCAATATCTCCCTTATAAAGATTTGAAAAGAAATATTTTATGGGAGTAATGTACTTAAAAA